CCCGGAGCTCCCACATGTTATCTAGTGCATCTTTAGACTCTGGGGAAGCCCTGTCAGTCTCATTTACTGTTGAGAAAACTGAGGCTTGGAGGAAGGTAGCCTCTCACTCAGGGCCAGGCAACAAGTGGGTGACAGAGCAGACGCTGGCAACTGGCTCTTCCTGTATCCAAAGCCCATCACCTCTTCTGATTTTGAAGTCCTTTTCCAAATGATGAGATAGAGGCTCAGATTGAAAAGGCCACCAATGACCATGGCCTGCGGGTACAGGGTGGTACAGGCCTCTGTCGAAGCTATGCAGCCCCATGACTGCCCTCTAGCCCACCCCCTCTTCCTTTCTCCCTCTTCCTTAACCACAAGTGTTGTAAGTTGACTAAGTGAAGTCAAGTGAAAGTCTCTCCATTGTGCCTGACTGAGAAGGTCAGTTGGGACCTGCTTGGCCTTTCCCTTTTCCAGGGGAATCTTCCCAACCCAGGGATCGAATCCAGGTCTCCTGCATTGCAGTCGATTCTTTACCAGCTGAGCCACAAGGGAAGCCCAAGAAAACTGGAGTGGGTAACCTACCCCTTCTCCGGCGGATCTTCCCGACACTGGAATCAAACCAGGGTCTCCTGCATTGCAGGCGGATTCTTTACCAACTGAGCTACAGGGAAGCCCTGTAAGTGGACTAGCCAGATTCCCAAGGCTGCAGAGGGACCAACTTGTGCTTTGGAGTCAGACAGACCTGGGACCATCTCAGTCTGTGGGGAGACATTTACATAGGCCACAGTTTTCTTTTAAATGCATGTATTTTTGGCTGTGCTCGGTCATCACTGCTGTGCGCCAGGCTTTCTCTACTTGTGGCAAGTGGCAGCTACTCTCTAGATGGGGTGTGTGGGCTTCTCATTGCAGTGGCTTCTCTTGTTGTGGTGCACGGGCTCCAGGGTACGTGGGCTCAGTAGTTTCAACTCACTGGCTATAGAGTGTGGGCTCAGTAGTTGTGGGCCATGGTAGTTGCCCCATGGCCTGTGGGATCTTCCTGGGCCAGGGATCAAACCCATGTCCCCTGCCTTGGCAGGCAGATTCTTAACCACTTAGACTACCAGGGAAATCCTGCCACAATGTTAAATTAGACTTCTGCAGAGGTTTGCAATCTGGCATGTAGTAGGCGCTCAGTAAATAAAAGCCCCATCCTCCAGCCTCATAACTGAGATTCTTGAGAAATACCATCCTGGGATAGAATGAGCGGCATGTGTGTGCGTGCTAAGTCACTTCAGTCGTGTGCACCTCTGTGACCCTGTGGACTCTAGCCTTCCAGCATCCTCTATCCACTCCCTCTCCACTCCAGAACCAGGACCCAGGCAGGGGGTGACGGTGGGAAGCAGCCCCGACCCAGCCCAAATCTGCAGCTCTGAGCTCTCAGCTCCTTCGCAGGCTAACTGGCTCTGTCCAACTCTGCGGTCCTCAGAGAGCAGTCCCTGGGCCCCAGCATGAGCTCTCTGTCACACTTCATGGAAGAATATCAGTGACATCATCACTAGGTTTCACTCCCTCCTTTCTATTCCTCACTGGTAGGTGATTCCTGGCCAGAGGCTGAGATAAAATGTTAAGGGCTTCAGGGGTGTGATGGAGACCCAGGAGACGGAAAGGGAAGGAGACAATCACTTACAGAGTGTGTTATTGTTTAGTCGCTGAGTCATATCTGACTCTTTTACCACCCCATGAACTGTAGCCCGCCAGGCTCCATCTTTCCATGGGATTTCCCAGGCGAGGATACTGGAGTGGGTTGCCATTTCCTTCCCCAGGGGATCTTCCCAACCCAGGGGTTGAACCTGTTTCTCCTGAATTTGTAGGCGGGTTCTTTACCACCGAGCCTCTAGGGAAACCCTACAGAGTGTGTAGGTCATGTTCCTGTTTCGTCTTCACCGCGTCTGTGCCAGGTAGGACTTGATCCAATTTCTCAGGTGGAAAAACGGACCCAGAGGGATAAAAATAACAGATGGTGTGATCACAACGTGCGTGAGTGACAGGTTCAGGAGATTGGCTTCCTGCACTTAGCTGGGTGACCAAGCAAATGACCTCCCCTCTGTGTTCCTCAGTTTCCTCATCTGGTAAATGGAACTAAGAATGACATTTCATTTTTATTAGGGTGGTGATGAAGACTAATAAGATTACAGCTGTTATGCATTCCTCCAAATGGCATCTATTCCACCAGACTTCCGGGGATGAGTGTGTGCTGATTAAATAAACCCGCAACGGGTCTGACTGGGAAGTGGGTGAAGTCATCTGAAAAGGGAACCCATTCACTCTCTCTGGTCCCCACCTCCTCCGGGCAGAGGTGGAGGAACAGCATAAACAGCAAACAGGAGAAACAGGTTTCCTCATCTCCAGCACTGCCGATGATTCAGGGCTGATGTCTTGAGATAATTTTATTGGGGGTATTAAACTGAGTTATGAGGTTTTTACAATCCAGCCACTTATGAGAAATCTATTAACAGTAACTGGACAGGAAGAAGGCTTCTCAGTGGAGCCCAGGACGGGCATTAATTGGGGCAATCTATAACAGGACAGGGACCCGGAAAGGTTCCACCCGACGCCTCCATTTACTCCCCGCAATTTCTGCTGAGAATCAGCAGACTCGCCAAAAAGAGAGAGATGCCCATTAATCGGCTAATGAAATATGAAAATGTTTATGGGCCATTCAATCTTCCAAATGGCACTTCTATAATCCACCTTTCAGACACAAAGTTCCACCAGCAGAATTTATACCCGGGCTCCTCCCGCGTGGCAGGGGGTGGGCTTTTATTCCTCTTCGTGATGACTTCATTGGCACCTGTTATCCTGCTGAGTGGGCTGGGGTACATGGCGTCCTGGCCTGAAAGGGGCCTTTACGGCTTCTCTTGTTCATGCTCCATCTTGGAGGAAGCTTCGAGAGGAGCAGAGAGCCGCCCAAGGTCACTGACTTCCTCGGATGCATTTTCTTCTGCTCAGAGCTGCCTGAGAGACTTGCACGTTGTAGGATAAGGACTTGGGTATTTCTATGTGGGAGAACAGTCTTTCTGCTGGTTCCTTGCCCAGGAGATCTCGGTGCAGTGAAAACAGCCTGGGTTTTGGAGCTTAGCAGTGCCTGGATTAAATCCCAGTTATATATAGCTAACATTTAATAATAATATAATAATAATGATAGCTACCATTTATGGGACATTTACTATGTCTCAGGCAGGACTGATTTTCAACTAGTACCTACCAGTATAGTTGTACCAGTTGCTAAAATAGTGAAGAGGCTCCCTACCTGCGGTAAATAGTCTGTTTCCTCTCACTTCCCTCAGCTCCCTCCACCCCTTGGACCTCTCTGTGATCCAGCATTCAAAGTGTTCCCACCTGGACCAGCAGGGGCTCTGCTGTGGTGCCACTCCATAGGCAGTGCCAGTGCCAGGCTGGCTGTTACATATTGTAAACATCATCTAGTGCCAGGCAAGTGCTAAGGGCCTTATGTGGACTTTAGACTCAATTAGCCCTCCATTTGGGCTCCCCAGGTGGTGCCAGTGGTAAAGAACCCCTCTGCTGATGCAGGAGATGTAAGAGACACATGTTCGATCCCTGAGTTGGGAAGATCCCCTGGAGGAGGAAATGGCAACCCACTCCAGTATTCTTGCCTAGGATAATCCCATGGTCAGAGGAGCCTGGCGGGCTACAGTCCATGGGGTCACATAGAGTCGGACACAACTGAAACCACTTATCACGCAGACATGCCACCCTCCGGCACCTCTAGGAGGAGGTGCTATTATGCTCCGCATGTTACAGAGGAGGGACCTGAGGCCCAAAGAGGTAGTGACTTGTGCGAGAACTCACAGGGAGGTGATGCTGGCACCAAGGCTGGACCAAGCTGTACCGCTTCTTCCCTCTGCCATGGGCTCCTCCCAGGAGGCGTGAGGATGGAGTGAGAAATCCCAGGCTGTGGACCAGGCCAGTTCCTCCAGCGGTCTGACCTTGAGCAATTCATCCCATTTGTCTAGTCCTCAGTAGAGAAATGAAAAAAAAAAAAATCTGCAAAGTGAAGATAGCAAAACCTACTCTAATAGTGATTTTCTTTTTAAAGAACTGTGCACCAAATAAATATGCAAATTGCTCAGCACACTGCCTGGCACATGATAGGCGCTCCTCCAGTTTGCATCCCTCTTTCCCCTCTGTCCTTCCAATCCCTGCCCCCACCATATTCCAAGCCCTGAGGCTGCTCTCCAGAGAAGTAAGAAGATACTTCTGAGGGCTTGGAGCCTAGGGACCCTAGACCTGTCAGTCCAGCTAGGGTCATGGACAGCAGCTTGGAAATTTGCTAAAAATGCAAATTCTGAGGCCCCACTCCAAACTCCCTGGGTCAGAATCTGCTTTTTACCGAGATCTTGGGTGATTTGCATGCACATTAAGATTTAAGAAGCATGGCTACAGTGAACGTGATAACGATGGCTTGACGTCTTGCAAAGATCTTGGAGCGGAATGGCAGAGTTGGAGGTGGAGTGGGAGTGGGGGTGGGGGTGGGTCCAAAAAAAAGCTTTTGAGAAGAGGTGGCATTTAAACTTGCAAGATGTGGCAAGCCTTGCAGGATGAGGAGACTTTCAGTAGACAGAGAAATAAGGCAGGACATGCAAAGAAGAAGCAGAGAGGTGTGGAGGTGGCTGTGACTTCTTTGTAAGGGTGACAGGGAGCCATAGAAGATTACATGTACGGGAGGACCTGTCAGATCTGCCTCTGAGGCTGATATCTCTGGCCACAGGGGGAAAGGTCAATTACAGGGGCAGGGCTGGAGCAGGAAGAGCAGGAGGGCCAGTGAAACGTGCCAGACCAGTGAGGCCTGGGACTGGGATGGCGTTTGGTTTCTCCAGCCTCAGTGACTTCACTGAAGAATGGGTATGTCAAAGAAGAGATGTGCTTAGGAAGAGGCACCCAGTGGGACTTGGTGGGGGAGTGGGGCGCCAAAAGGAGCTCCCACCCGGGCCTCCATTCTGCCTTCCTCCCTGCCTCCCCAGATCCACTCGGACTCAGACGAGGGTGACGGGGCCATCAAGTACACCATCTCGGGCGAGGGCGCTGGGACCATCTTCCTGATCGACGAGCTGACGGGCGACATCCATGCCATGGAGCGCCTGGACCGGGAACAGAAGACCTTCTACACACTGCGGGCTCAGGCTCGGGACCGTGCCACCAACCGCCTGCTGGAGCCCGAGTCAGAGTTCATCATCAAGGTGCAGGACATCAACGACAGCGAGCCCCGCTTCCTGCATGGCCCCTACATTGGCAGCGTGGCTGAGCTCTCACCCACAGGTGGGCGGTGGGCTCCGGGGGGTGGGATGAGCCAGCAAGAGGGGGAGGGGAGCAGCCGGGTTGAGAGAGGGAGCCTGCTGGGGGGAGGGGAGTCAGGGCACAGCTGTGAGCCCAGGTGCCCAGGCACAGTCCTGGACAATCACTTAGCCCAGGGCCCCTGGTAGAAACTGGAGTTGTGGGCTGAGGAGCAAGCCGGCCACTACCACCTTCCCCACCACATTAGCCTAAGTCACCTGCAAGCCAGGCTGGACAGGGAACAGTGGCTCTGGGTCCTAGAACACATTCCATCTCTTTGGCCAAGGCACTACCTCCTTCTTGGCCTTCTAGCTCTGCAGCTGCTCATCAGAGGCCAGAGGAACGTGGTTTCTTGGGGAAAAGTACAGTCACCCCTGGCTTCTCTAGATGGGGCAAATCTGTAGGTAATGAGCGAGCAGGCGGTAATGGAAGAGAAGGGAGTGAACCAGAGAAGACAGTGAGCACAAAGGATGGTGGGAGAACAGGAAACGGCAAGGGTGTGAATGTGGGTGTGGGTTGGTGTTCACACACACACACAGGTGTGTTGGTGTTGTCTGCTGTGCATACCGTATTCTCACACGTGCGCAGATGTGCACGGCCTTTAAGACCCGTGCATGCATTTGACAGCTTATGTGTTTGCTGAATGAATTCATTCATTCTTTTAACAAATATGCATAGGCACCTGGGACACAGCGTGGAGAAGGCAGACCAGCCTCTCTGCTCTCATGGAAGGGATATTCTGGTCAAGGAAGACAAGCAGGAAGCAAGTTAACAAACTGATCCTGGGGTTGGGAAGAAGACACTGAAGCAAAGACTCGAAAGAAGTGAGAACCTGTGCCCAGGGAACAGCAGTCCAGGCAGTGGGAACAGTATATGCAAAGGTCTCAGGGCTGAATTCCCTCTGAGGGGAAGCAGAGAAGAGACCAGATCAGGCAGCCGTGTGATCATAGTCAAGGTTTTTCGTTTTATGCTCAGCAAGCTGGGAAGTCAGTGGAGGGGCTTGTTCAGAAGAGTGACATGATATGACTTAATTTGAACAGGATCCTGTGACTGTTCTGTGAAGATTAGATGGAGAGGTGGGGGAAAGGCAGAAGCAGATAGCTCATTGACAAGGATATTGCAATTACCTAGGCAGGAAATGATGGTAGCTTGGAACAAGGTGGTACCAGTAAGGGTACTGAAAAGAGGTCGGCTTCTAGGTATATTTCGAAAGTAGAGCTGAAAGCATTTGCTAATGGATTGGATGTGGGGTGTGAGAGAAAGAAAATTCAAGGATGACTACTGAGATTTTGACCTGGGCAATTAAATAGATGGAATCTCCATTTACTGAGATGGGAGAAACAGTGGGAGAAACAGATTTGTGGGGATGGAGGGAAATCATGAGTTTGGTTAGATGAACTAAGTTGAAAATATTTATTAGAAAGCCGAGGAGAGATCTTGAAAAAGGCAGTTCAGTATCCAGTTTCAGCTGCAAGGTAGCTGAAGGTACTTGAGGTAGCTGAGGTAGAGAGGTAAATTTGGAGGTTGTCCATGGCAGAGACCCAGGGAGTACCTAGATATCAGTTTTGCAAGTGGGGAAACTGAGGCTCAGAAGAGCCGTGACGGGTCCCAGGTCACACTGCAAGTCAGAGGTAGCTTATGAAGCCTCTGGTTTCCCAAGTCCGGCAGCCCTTACCCTTGGACTCAAACTCTGGCCAAAAGAGACAGAGTCCTGTCTCTCTTCACCCAAACTGAACTGCATGTTTCCACATGGAAAAGCCAGAAAGACGGTGAGAGATGAGGCTAGAGGAGGAAGCTGGACTCATGCAAAGGACTTGAGGGAAGCAGGTAGCCTGGGAAAAGCTTAAGCAAGAAAGTAAGTGGGCAGACTTGCGTTTTGGAAGCCTCCCTCTGCCTCAGGGTGGAGAGTGGATGGGAATGAGGGGCCCAGAGGGAGGTATAGTCCCATATACCCCATGCTGGCTTGCCCATCACCATTCACTCTCACTTTGACTCTGAGAGGTGGCAGGACTGATGTCAGCATCCCTATTGAACAGCTGGAAACACCAAGTCTTAGAGAGAGGAGATGATGTGACCCACAGTCACATAGCAAGTCAATGACCCAGCAGATCGCTGGGTTGGGCTCCCAGGCTTTTGGAGTTTCAAGGTTCTTGTGTCCCTCATGGGGAAAGTCAGACCGAGAAAAACGCAGTGACTCACTCAAGGTCACCCAGAGAGTGGGAGGCTGAGCCAGCCCCCAGCTTGATGAGCCCAGCCGCAAGGAACCCCACCCCACACCACCCCGGTTTCCCGGTCCACTGACTCTGACATTCCGCTCAGGAAATAGTGGGGATTTAACTCGGACAAGCCAGGGGAACCCAGGAAGGGGGAGGAAGAAGCAGAAATTAAATTAGTTTATTTCATTTGAGCAACTTTTTGAAGGAAAAGCAAATCCGACACTTGGGTGCTTACGGCGACTCCAGGCAGCTTTGAAAATCAGTCACAATTACTGAGCCTCCTGATCTGGGCTGAGGGGGGCGGGGCCGACAAGTGGCACTGGGGTCTGGGCGGCCTCGGAGATCAGAGGGAGCGGGACACAGCTTGGGACATGAAAGGCAGCAGCGCTCACAAATTAAACCACTCACAGCTTAAAAGGGAAGGGAAGTGTGCCGGGGGCCTCCAATGAGCCACGCTTCTAAGGAGGGGCACGCCAGCCACACTGAGCCTAACACTGCAGCGCGGATTCTGCATCTGATGGTCAGGAAGCCTGGCACCCCGTGTGACCTCGGGAAAGTCCCTGCTCTTCTCTGGGCCCCAGATTCCCTTCTGAGAACAGAGCAGGCTCATTCATGCCCAGATGTTTACTGAGTGCCTACTCTGTGCCAGAGACTGTTTCAGGCATTGGAGATTCTTAGAAAGCCTACATCTAGGACAGGGAGAGAGATAGGAAAGAAAGAAACAAGTCAAGATATAAATACACCCTGTGGTGTAAGTGTGAGGGAAATTGGGACTTATACTGGGGGAGTGCTATTTTAGACAGAGGGGTCAGGAGAGACCTTTCTTTTTCTGTATTTATTTGCTTATTTTGGCTGCATCTTTGCTGTATCACACGGATATTTTGTTGCAGCGCAAGGCTTCTTTAGTTGTGGTACAGGCTTAGTTGCTCCAAGGCTTGTGGGATCTTAGTTCCCCCACCAGGGATTGAATCCACATCCTCTGTATTGCAAGGTGGATTCTTAACCACTGAACCACCAGGGAAGTAGGGACTTAAGCCTTCGTTTTTTTAAGAGAACATTTGAACAAGGTCTGAAGGAACCAAGGGAGTGGACCAAAGAGCTATGTGAAACTCAGTTCTCAGTTCAGTTGCTCAGCTGTGTCCGACTCTTTGCGACCCCATGGACTGCAGCACACCAGGCCTCCCTGTCCATCACCAACTCCCAGAGCTTGCTCAAACTCATGTCCATTGAGTCAGTGATGCCATCCAACCATCTCATCCTCTGTCGTCCCCTTCTCCTCCTGCCTTCAATCTTTCCCAGCATCAGGGTCTTTGCCAATGAATCAGTTCTTCGCATCAGGTGGCCAGAGTATTGGAGTTTCAGCTTCAGCATCAGTCCTTCTAATGAATATTCAGGACTGATTTCCGTTAGGATGGACTGGTTGGATATCCTTACAGTCCGAGGGACTCTCAAGAGTCTTCTCCAACACCACAGTTCAAAAGCATCAATTCTTCGGTGCTCAGCTTTCTTTATAGTCCAACTCTCACATCCATACATAACTACTGAAAAAACCATAGCTTTTACTAGACAGACCTTTGTTGGCAAAGTAACGTCTCTGCTTTTTAATATGCTGTCTAGGTTGGTCATAACTTTCCTTCCAAGGAGTAAGCGTCTTTTAATTTCATGGCTGCAATCACCATCTGCAGTGATTTTGGTGCCCCCCAAAATAAAGTCTGTCACTGTTTCCACTGTTTCCCCATCTATTTGGCATGAAGTGATGGGACCAGATGCCGTGATCTTAGTTTTCTGCATGTTGAGTTTTAAGCCAACTTTTTCACTCTCTTCTTTCACTTCCATCAAGAGGCTCTTTAGTTCTTCTTCACTTTCTGCCATAAGGGTGGTGTCATGTGCATATCTGATATTGATATTTCTCCCAACAATCTTGATTCTGGCTTGTGCTTCATCCAGCCCATCCTCATGATGTACTCTGCATATAAGTTAAATAAGCAGGGTGACAATATACAGCCTTGACGTACTCCTTTCCCGATTTGGAACTAGTCTGTTGTTCCATGTCCAATTCTAACTGTTGCTTCTTGACGTCCTACTTTTGCATTCCAGTCCCCTATAATGAAAAGGACATCTTTTCTGGGTCTTGTAGGTCTTCATAGAACCGTTCAACTTCAGCTTCTTCAGCATTACTGGTCGGGGCATAGACTTGAATTACTGTGATACTTAATGGCTTGCCTTGAAAACGAACAGAGATCATTCTGTCATTTTTGAGATTACATCCAAGTACTGCATTTTGGACTCTTTTGTTGGACTATGATGGCTACTCCATTTCTTCTAAGGGATTCTTGCCCACAGTAGTAGATATAATGGTCATTTGAGTTAAATTCACCCATTCCAGTCCATTTTAGTTCACCGAGTCCTAAAATGTCGACGTTGCCATCTCCTGTTTGACCACTTCCAATTTGCCTTGATTCATGGACCTAACATTCCAGGTTCCTATACAATAATGCTCTTTACAGCATCGGACTTTATTTCCATCACCATTCACATCCACAGCTGGGTATTGTTTTTGCTTTGACTCTGTCTCTTATTCTTTCTGGAGTTATTTCTCCCCTGATCTCCAGTAGCATATTGGGCACCTACCAACCTGGGGAGTTCATCTTTCAGTGTCCTTTTTGCCTTTTCATACTGTTCATCGGGTTCTCAAGGCAAGAATACTGAAGTGGTTTGCTATTCCCTTCTCCAGTGGGCCACATTTTGTCAGAACTCACCTCCATGACC